GGCCAAAACCCATTAACTCCTTTTAGTTCAAAATTTGGAGGGTAGAAAGGACCATTAGGTCTTTCAATATGATCTCTTGAAAAGCACACGTCATGGGGCTACCTCTACCATTCACAGGTACCTCTGTACAGAGCCCAGAAGAAATTGCTCTGACAAGGGCATGTCCTCTAGAAAACTAGGCAAGGCTTTAGGGCAAAAGCAATGTCTTCAACTGGACCAATTCTTTTTAGAATAGAGGAAAAAGAAAAAAGGAAGATGCCAACTCTTATTAAATGAGAATCTGCTTTTTCTTTTTTCTTTTTTTTTGTGTTCCTCTTTGCATATTTAATAGGCAAAATATTTGCATTATTAATAGCTTGAACTAAAGCATGGACTATGTTTTCTTTGAAAATTTCCTTTACATGACTTCTGTCTTTCTTTTGTTGTAGTGTGCTTTGATGGTTCCAACATATCCCTTGCTGTTAACTGATTATTATTATCTGTGGTTTGAAGGGAGACTCTCCATCTAGAAATCTACAGAATATTTAACATGCTTAAAGGTTTGCTTTAATCCAGGCCCTTTGGTGATATGTTCTAACTGCAAGTGTCTAAATCCCAGTGGTTGTTTCTCTTGTCTCTGCAGGGTAAGTCTCTGCATCATCCAATAAAGGAATGTGGGAATACATGTTATCTTGCTGGTTAGTTATCACATGAGAAATCTTTTTTCCCTAGTTCAAAGAATTCTTAAAGGGAAATAGGAAACATAATTCAGAGAGATAGGGAGGAGAAGTATTATTAATATGGTATGAGTATTAGAAATTCTTGCCTATCAGCTTAGATTAGTCTGGATGTGACGTAAATATGCATACATGGATAATATACATTAAAATAAGCATTTAAAGGAGGAAAAGTTAACTCTCACATGCCTAAGTCAACATCGCAGATGACGAAATCTTACAGAAAGGAGGGTTTACTTTACCTTTCCACTTTTTCTCACCCCCTTGTTATATAAAGCAGGGTTTTCCTTCAGCTGCTGATCGTGAAGAAGGATACCTTCCTTTAAAATGTGCTATCAGAAGAGCTCAGAGGAACCCAGCATGAGGAACCCAGCACTTTTCAGTGGTCCCCAGGGATGTCCACCACTGCAATGGAGACCAGCAGTGGAGAGGTGTCAATACTCCTGTCCTTGGAAACCTCCCAACCCACCAAAAAGCCCCAGAGCCACAGGAAGATGCTTGTTTGTGGGGTGCCATACCACATTGCTAATGATAGCACTAAATGAGAGCCTAACAGGACATGATTTATCAGTTGGCTCACCAAGGCTTTAGAAATATTGGGGTCCTCGGAGATTATTTTTTCAGAAATATTGAAGGTTTTTTTCCTTTCATCAGACAATATCTAATGTTTTTTTTTCTCCAGTCAATGTTCCTATATGGTTTTATACCAATGTCTCTTCCAGCTTGCAGCAACAACCATTTGCTAATAATAATTGCTAGGCAGCTTGCAAACCAATTTCACAAAATGTCCTCAATCTTCAGTTTCTGAAGAAAGAAAGACATGAAAAATCAGAAACTTTTTTTTCTTTCCAATCAGCAAGAATGGTTTGAGAATGCTGCTTTCCAGATGGAAAAGAAAAAGCATAAGGCCTTGCCTGAACTTTCCGCAATGTGAAGGAAGGCATTGTGCCTCTCTGAAATACCTTCAAGACGGTGGTGAGATAAGTCATGTGCCATGACCTGCAGTGACCCAATGATCTGTGGAAAGATGTGGCGTTAAGTCAACAGCCTACTGAATACGTGAGGAATGCATACATGTGCTCTTCTTGGATGCTCCCTGGAGCCAGACTTGGAGGCCTCCAAAGAGCCTGTGGTGCATTCAGTGTCAGCCTCATGACCTGGTGATACTCCAGAGCTACCTGGGTCCGTAGGCATGTAGCAATTGCTGGGAAGCACTGAGGCTCTTGTCCCAGACAAAGGAGAATGAGGACTACACGAGCAAGCTACTTGCCAGCCTGCTCCAGAGAGGGGCTCGCACCAGATGTTTTAAAAGATAGCGCAAGAAAACTCGAGGGTGACAGTTACAGAATAACCTGCCAAGAGGAAAAGTTTCCTCCAAATCCTATTACTCAGAGGTTGGCTTAAACCATAAAGCACTAAACTGTATATCCCTCATAAACTCTGTATTTGTTTGCTCCTTACGTCTTCACAACGGTAACTGCAAATGTCCTGGGCAAAGGCTCTCCCTTTCTGTTCCCAGTTAAAGCAGAGAAGTTCTTTAAATTAAGGCTAGACAGAAAAAGTAAAATGTAGTCGCACACATTGTACCTGTCCTGAAAAGACCTTTTAATCACTTTTCTGCTCTTCAGAAATAGTTCTGCTCCCTGCTGAAGGCCACACTAACAAGAAGATCTACCTGATGGACTGGTAAAAGACTCAATGCTTATTCAATGCATGGAATAAGCAATGTCAACTCATGTAATGAGTTTGTTACACCACAGTGTGTTTCACCACACTGCTATAGAACTCAATGCTAGGGAAAAAATTCAGAGACATGTGAAGGGAGAGGAGCCAGAGGGACTGCTTTGTGTAGGAGCCCCAAAGAGACTTTCAAAAGAAGAGACTTCAAATGAAGCTGCTGGGTCCTCAACATCATTAAAAATCCTGTTTATTCACATCTGCACAAGGGTGCCAGAATGTAACTGACGGTGCCACATGATACAAATCTAATTTGTCATTTTTATCCTGGTTCAGTTTAAATAGAGAAAATTTCAAATTACAAATAAAGCCCCTATTAGTGGGTAAAGTTACTGGGGACAATAACAAATTGAATGTTTAAAATGTGATGAGGCCACTTTGTCCCCTCTCAGCTGGTTTCAGCCTGTGAAGTCAGAGCTGAAACCTACCCTTCGGGGCCAGCCCCCAAAACATCCCTTTCTCCTGGCACACCAGCTCATTCCATCTGCTTCTTCAGCCCTGCCTCAAGCATGCAGTGTTCATTGCTTAAGGAAGGGTCTTTCATTCGATCATTGCATCGAGATGAGGGCTGGAGTGATGATAATTGCTCAGAAGCAACAGAAAGAACATATTAGATGTGAAAGAGAGAAAAAGACAAGAGAAAAAAAGAAAAAAATGGAGGAAAAAATGTGCTTTGGAAGAAAATGATAAAAAGAGTCGTGAGAAAGAGAACTCAGATAGAATATTGAGAGTACTGAAATAATGCTAACATGTTACTCAAAGAAACCCTGGAAGAGGCTTGGAGAGAAGATGAAGTAATTGTAGAGAAGTGTATACTTCTCTACAGTAAGAGAGTAAGTGTAGAGAAGTAAGTGTACAGAAGAAAAGGAAAGAATTGGAGGGAAAAAACAAAGAGACAGAATAAATCATTGTTGGCAGTTTTTATTTTTTAGAAGATTTTTTTTTAACAGGATCTAACTTAATCATAATTCAACTGTTTTGCACACATAAGCAGACAACCCCCCTCAAAGAAACTCGTAGCCCTGGAAATAAAGGACAGAGACAAATTGCATATGCTCCAAGTTGACTCTTCTTGGAAGCTACAGATGTTCATTGTTTGGAAGCACAATGGACAGCTGAACATTGGCAGATGTTTCCCAACCATCATCTGAGAAAACTCACAGACAGACAAGGGAATGGACACTTCTAGCAGCAACTGCAGTTTCTGCCAGTGCTTCAGATGAAGTATTTGTCAGCTGTTATGTTCTGTAGAGCACCTGATCCATATGCAGCGTCTGTACAACACATCAATGCCTCTTAATGCCACAGCCCCCTGCAATGCATGAGGTTTGTAGCTGGTCCACCGAAATACCAATAAGCTGATTTCTACTGAGACTTGGACTCCATCTTTGTTTTGACTCTTATCTGATAGGAATAAGCATATATTTAAAACTACAGAAGTAATCAGGTGGTTGGATGGCTCTTAGAAGCCAGCAGCATGTCAATAATTATATTCTTGAACAAAAGACATAAGGCAACTCCTTTAAGTAACATGAGCTGTAATTTGTACATAACTATACCTCCTATTCAGAGGGGGAAAAAGAAGTGTGCCTCTAGGAAAAAGCATGTCTCAGTTTAGCTTTGTGTCATGCAATTATTTACCAGACATTTAAACTCATAGAAAGGCTTCTAGTGACATTTTTGCACTGTCTGAAGATAATAAATGCCCATTTTAATCTGAAGATAAAAGCTATTTTTTTTCAATTATCAATGTCCTATTACTCAAAAACACAAGTAAGACAGCACTGAAAAATAATAATATAGTGGCACCACCCAACGCCAACTACCCCTGAAAACATTCAGATAGTTTTGCAAATGTTATCTTTAAAATTATTGACATGATTACCTTTCATGCCCATCAGTGAGTTCCCACTGGTGAAAGAGTAACCTTCTACTAAAGCATACAACATTAATCCTACAAAAAGTAATGTAAGTGAAGGGAGTAAAGTCATTGCCTCCAGTGTGTTAATCTGTAAGAGGAAGAAGAACAGCATCTGATGTTCCACTATTTTGCAAAGAATGTTAAAATGATGTGTTATATTCAATAATTTACAGAAATGGATGCTCATTTGGCAGCAAGGCAGATTTGATCATGCATTGCAAATGTACCCTGTGTTCCAGCAGTGCATCTTGCGTGCCAGGTGAAGCCCAAAAGGGCACCACAGAGGAGTTCAGTGCTCACAAATAGGGTCAGTTTGCCTCAGCAGACTTAAAATTCCCTCTCAATGACTTCGCCATGGAAAAAAAGAGACATGCAGAGCCAAAGGTAAAATCCTGGCTCTTCTCCAGTGAAGTCATTGAGGAATTTAGCCACTCATTTCAAGGAAACAAGGGATTCAGCCCCAAAACAGAGATATCCCCATAATGCCCACAAAGTCCATGGGAGTTGATAGGTAGCAGTTTTTCAAATGAACTCACTCCTGCCTGGGGATGTGCCAGTTATATAGAAAAAAAAAAAAAAAAACAAACAAACAATAACAAAAAATAGTGACAACAGCAAAAAAAGATAGGAAAGAGTCCCTTGATCGGAAAAATATGTTTTTTAAAATCAGCCTGCCATTAAAACATCTATATATACATGTTATATTACATGAGTGAACAGTGTTTTCTTTAGTGTACATGCCCTTTTTTTTTTTTAATTAATTCACACACTAAGTGCTAAAGTGTTTCCTAAAGCCATTAGGTGGTGCTTTCAGTAAGCAGTAGAATAAATAGTTCTGGTCTGCATCATGATCTCATTTTCTTAAGTAAAAGAAATTTTAAACAAAACGCTATGGGTGCTTCCTCCTTTAAAAGCCCCTCAACCTTGGAGAAAGTTGAGTATCACGTTTCAGAGGCACTCTGGCTCCCCTCAGGAGTTATAAACTGTACTTTGGGCACAATGAGGGAGGAATTCGTTCTCCTCATGGAGTTGCTCCTCCGGATGGAGTTGTTTCTTCTCATGGAGTTGCGTTTCCGCAAGGAGTTTTGGTGGGATAGCTCGCTCTTCTGAAGGGTCTGGATGAGAATCGATGGCTTCTCATCGAGCTCTCGAGCACTGCAACGTGGTGCTGCAACTTTGATGGTGTTGCCAAATTTGGAGTAGTCGACTGCGTAAACACCTTCCTCTTCAGTGACAATGGGCACAAAACGGTGACCCCATAGGATCTCCTCCGCTATGTAGGAGGTTCTTGCCTGAGTCGTGATGCCAGTAGTTTCTACAACTCCTTCAAGTACCACTATGAGCTCCAGATCTTGGAGAGCCAGGTCAGCAGCAGAGATATCATAAAGAGGACTCCTCTTGTCTATGACGTGACAAATGATTAAGGGAGCCACAAGGAAAATATTGTTGCTTTCAATGGGGTTATCCACAGGGATATCTACTTGGTGAATGGGTATGATTTCTCCTTCAGGGGTAGTAGTCTTTCTCACAACCTGGATTCTCACGGAGGCACTAATGATCATGCTCTTCCGCAGATCTCCCACTCGAAACATGAAGCAAAGCTTGCCATTTCGAACAGCAATGACTGCCTGACGACTGAAAATCAAGGTCTCTGCCCGCCTGTGAGCTTGTGCTGTTTTCATGAATATGCACCCCAGCATAACGGCATTGATGATCAGCCCCACAATATTCTGCAAAATCAAAACTGTGATGGCCAAGGGACATTCTTCTGTCATCATCCTGCCCCCAAAACCAATGGTCACTTGAACTTCAATGGAGAAGAGGAAAGCAGAAGTGAAAGACCTGGAGAAGAAGATTGCACAAAGTTACCTCTAAGTCCATTGAACACAGACTGAGAAGTTCCTAGGTTTTACTTGCTAGAAATAATGTACTGTCGTATTTGTACATTCCTGTTATGCTTAAGACTCCTGTCTGTTTCTGTGAAAGCACTGCACATGCAGTGACTCTGTTTGTATGACCGAGAAAGCCTCTGATGGTGAGGGGGAAGACTGAATTAGGAACCTGAATTCCTGAACGACCAGTTGTAACACTAGGTGGGTCTGGGAGCCTTGAGAAACAACACATTCCCTTGTGTTAGTGGAGTGTGCCTCTAACGCTGGCCATGACCTGCCATCTTCATCCTGTGAGAATCTCAGTGGGGACTGCAGGTTTGGGGATGTGTGAGCAGTTAGCTAACACACAGGGATTCTTCCACCAGCCTGGAAAACTGGGAAATCTGTGGCATTTCATTTGTATTACCTGCCTTTCTGTATTGTGATACTCTTTAATAGGAAAATGGAAATTCCCAGATTTGCACAACCTCCATAATCCATGCTCTCCTTGCAACTAAACCTTGCAGGATCATGTTGCAGAAGGAGGACAGTTGGCCCCCACATTCCATCTCTGTGCATGGCAATGCGCAAATCCAAACCTTTGGTTTATCTCACTACCATGAAAAGATCAGCTGGAAAATTTCATCACATAAGTGGGATGTAGACATGTGACTTAACTCAAATGGCCCCTATGCATTATGTTTCTGGACATCAGAGGATTCTGTCCACAACCTTTTCCACAAAGAATCCAAACACAAACTACTTCATTCTTTACAGTACACTATGATATCCTCTACCCCATATACATCAGGTCTTTCATCTCTTTCATTAATTGGACACAGGTAATGACACTCACCAAAGTCTCATAGGTACAAAAATCAGTATTTCAGGCTTCACCTACAAGACATGCAGCATATAGCTTCAGATATGAACTGAAATGACAGTCATCTTTTTATGTGGTGCAGTGCACGAAGCATCTACACACGTAACATTGTTTTACCTAAAATAAATACATGGCATTTCTATAAATAAAGTTCTAAATTAGTGTTTTTGAAATAAAATGTTTTACTTTTTTCTAAACATATTTTCAATGAAGTCAGAGTCATAAAGTAAAGTTAGAATAGCACAATTTTCTGTAGAAAGAGAAAATTAATCTTTCAGAAAACCACTCAGTCTCCATAGAAATGTCTTTGAATGATTTTTTTTTCCATGTTCATTTGTTTCAATGTTTGTTTATTTTGTGAGGTTATTTTTGCAGTTCACAGTGAGGAAATCAGGGATGAAGGATCTGATTAATAGAAATAATGGAATGATGTCTTTGTTAATGAATATTCAGTTCCATGCAGAATGAGCTTTTTGGCTAAAAGTTAATTCATTATTTGAAAAGTTGTTTACTCTGTGGAGTAAAATATTCAGATTTCCCTAAATAACCCTGCTTAAAAAAAACAGAGGAGAGGAGAGGAGAGGAGAGGAGAGGAGAGGAGAGGAGAGGAGAGGAAAAGGGTCCACCTTTCTTCCATGGAAGTTCTGCAATCAAAGAAGCAAATTTTTCTAACATTTTGAACATTTGAAGTGAGAGACAGAAACTCCAAACCACTTTATCCCCAAGTCTGTAACTTCAGAGCTCTACAACTCCTCTCTGGATAATAATTTCTTTGTGAGGCAAAATTGCTGCAAGTCCTAGGAAGTCCAGAGCATTTTGGAAAATTGCAGTGCTGTGCAAATTCTATGTACCACTTAAAATTTCTAAAACAAGGTGTCCTGTAACTCCATAATGAGACTTACCCAAGAAAGCTCTCCTAACATATTCATGGGCCTAAATCACTGGGATTTTTTTTTTAAATATTTGCTGTTATTTTGTGCATATCATTACAATGTTAAATATTATTTCATACCCAATGGTTTGATACTGTTAAAAGTATTAGCAACCAGCAAAGCAACCAGCAGCAAAGTTGTTACCTCATCTGGTAGATCTGGTGGGCAGGTTTAGCAAGATATCATGACTTGAAAGTAGATGCTCGAGGAGCCATTGGCTGAACCACCCCAGGTCCTAGCACCAGTCATGGTCTAGAAGAAAAAGCTACACTAATTCATCACTTGCTCTCCTTAGTAATAACCCTCCTACCAACCCCACAGAGCTGGCAGGGGGCAGCTCTCGGGTTAAACAAACCCCACTGCTCTCCTCCAGGAGATCGCTTGTTGCCACTCACGGGAAAAGACACAACAACACCCTCTTCATCCCCCCACCAGCCAATGCCTATAATTATCGAGGAGACTAAAGCTGGGAAAATCCCTATTTAGCAAAGTGTCAAAACAATGGAACAGTGAAATCTCAGCTCCCTTTTCAGATGCAAAATCACTTTGCACTTGGTGAGGTGACTTAGAAGGATGTGTAAGAGAAAGAGAAAAAGAGCTATGCACAGTTGGGTGGCCCCAGCCCCTCTTGCCACCCCAATAGCCCTCACAGGGGTCCTGCAATGTGCACATGGCCCATGTGCTCGTCATTTGCAGCACCCTATATTTGGCTACCTAGCAAAAGTCTTTCACAAAGACTTTTCGCAAAGTTTCCCCAAAGAGCACTTTGCTCCATAGTTCCTCACCGAGGCTGGTAACAGATGAATGTGAAGCATGGGCAGGACCCCAGATAGCTCCTTTTACCCCTTTTCTTCATCCCACCTCATCCCCTTACCTGACACATGTCACGCACGGCGTCCACTTAGTGCTATTGGCAGCACACTCGATGCTTGCGTCCATGTCCCCATGAGCAAAAGCCACCAGCCACCACATCATGGCAAAGAGCAACCAGCTGCACAGGAAGGACATGGTAAAGATGACCAGCGTGTGACGCCACTTCAGGTCCACCAAGGTGGTGAAGATGTCTTGCAAGAACCGTCCCTGCTCGCGGATGTTCTTGTGCGCCAGGTTGCATGCCCCGTTCTTGGCAATGAAGCGGGCTTTGCGGGGCCGGTCTCGGATCCGTGGCTTGCGCAGGTTCTCCGCAGCAATGCGCGCCAACACATACTCTTCAGGGATGATACTCTTACGAGCCAACATCTTCCTACCACCATAGTCCACCTAGCGGGATGCCAAGGTGGGATGGTCCTGCTAGTGGGTCTTTGCAGCTCTCACTCCGTGCCCTGTGAAAAGAGAGAACAGGGTTAGCTTGGACATGTTGCACCCGTCACGGTGAGATGCCTTTTGCAGCCCCTATTTCTTGGAGGCTGCTGAGTAGATCTGGCAAGTGAGGTCTGAAGTGACGTGCCGTGGGACAGGTCAGCTCCTCGGGAGCACTCAGTTACTTGCATGCTGCAGCAGCACCAGCATGAGATGCCTCAGGCTTGGACCGAGGGGGGCTGCGGCAAGAGCCAGCGGAGAAATTTCTTCTGGACGTGGTCCTGCAGCGCAGCTGGGAGCCCCTCCTCAGTGACGCTTCCCAGGGCCCCTGGAGCATCCCCCCTGGAGCTAAGCGTCCGCAGGGAGGCAGGAAGCAGGACTTCTTGGAGCGGGCGCTCGGCTCCCCCTTCTCCCGCTCTCCGAGATGAGGCGGAGAATCCCTCCCTTTTTCCCAGGCGACAAAGCCCAGGAGAGGCACTGCAGGCTCCAAACATCCCCACGGCAGTAGATGGGTCACCCCAGTGACCGTGTGGTGAGGGGGGAACCTCTGTGCAAGAAGCCCAATGTGCTGGGGCTAGTAGGGACACGCGCACACCCGTGTGTACACTCACACCCTCTTGTGCATGCACACACATTAAACACACACATATATGCATGCATGCACATGCTTATGCATGTATGCACACTCACACCAAAAATGCACACTCACATGCACTCACATACTTATCCATGCACTTATGCACACACTTATCCATGCACTTACTCACACACACAGTACAAATATGCACACACTTTCATACATGCAGTCATGCAGGCACACACACTAAAATGCTCTTACATTCATGGTGCACACATGCATGCACATACACACTTGCACACTCACATATACACTCATGTTTGCACACACTAAAAGCACATATTCACACACATACCTAGACACACACATGCATTCACTTACACACAATCACTCCTGCTCACACACATGCACTCACACATATGCACACTCAAATAGGCATCCACTCACACTCACATGCCTACTCAGACACATGTACACATGCAGTGTGAAACCACACGGGTACCTGTGGCCGATGGGGTGATTCAGGAGATTCACTGTGTGCTGCAGGCACTGCTGCCAGCTTAGGCTTGATCCAGCAGACTTCCCAGCCAGCTTTTTTGTTTTGCTTTGTTTGTTTTCATTTTTAGTTTTGTTTTCATTTTTTCTTTTGGATCCACGCACTTGCTTGCGTGCTCCGGTAAGCCAAGGCTTTTGCGTTTTAAAGCTTTATCTTGCCTCAGATCTCACTGAGAAAAAACTCACAGGCAGAAAACCAAGCATGTGCAGAAGTGTCTGGAGGACCAGAGCCAGAATTGCATGGTCTCTGTGGATTTTGACAAACTTAATTACTGTTTCTGAAAAAAGAAAAAAAAAGAAAGCTTCATTTAATAGTATAAAAATCTAGTTAACTTGGGTAGGCAAAGTCAGGCTTGTTTTAATGTTCAGGTATAATGGGCATTAACAGAAAGGTCTTGACATATGAGATGGGTATAGCAGAGATTACGCACAATGTTGAAATTGTGAAATCACAGAAGTTCATTCTTTTTCCCACAGGTCGAGGTTTACAACTTTGGCAATTTCTCAGCTTCTTGTGTTTAATGGAAACTTGCATTCTTGGAAATTGCAGCTTTTTTTTCCGAAGTCATAGCATTTGTAGTAGGAAGAATAAACAGTACATCAACTTTATGAAAAGGTCTAAATTTAGCTTTTAATGAAGCAAAGTGCTCCAGAATTCACTGTGTCAGATTAACTCCTCCACACCCAAGGAAGGTGGCTGTGCACTTTAAGAAGATTTCTAAAGTTTTCTGTGTATGGCTTGAAGTAATGATGTACACAGCATAAAATGTGTACGGAGCCCATAATGTGACAACCCTCTGTAAATTAGAGAATGATCTAAATGCTTCACGAACTTGCTGCAGTGAGGAAGTTTTAAAGCATATTCAAGCTTTTTAAAGGTTTAGAAGAATGTGAAAGAGAATCCACTTGTTGAAGATAGCTGAGGATCCTGAAGAAGGCACACACGTGCTCAGTGTCATGCAGATGAAGGAACGTTTCTTGCACTACCCTTTTTTAGTACCAAGCACCAGCAGCTGGAGAAGATGCAGGCTCAGGGCCCCAGTCATATTTGGCAAAGAGCTAAACATTTGTGCTTAAAATTAAGCAGACAACTAGCTCCGGTCTGGAAACAACAGCATCTAAAACAGTTCCTGTAGCTACTAGCCAGACACTGAGTGCAAATACATACTCCTTTTTCATGAGGACCTTCAGTTGCATTCCTTTGCTTCTGTGACAAAGTTATTCACGCCCAGCCCTCAACTGCATATTCTCCTTCAAAGTTGTTACTGAAAGTCTATAGCTTTAGGAATAAGGTCAGTAAAACACCAAGTGACAACACAGGAGCTGAAGGCACCACAGTTAAGTGACAACTGCTTTGCACAAATGGGAAATTCAGCTTTTATTTATTTTAATGTATTATCATAATTGTATGCTGGGGTGACGAGATCTGGAGTACTATTAACAATAATCACCCCCTCTTCCAGGTTAAATAATACTTGGCAAGATTTTGAGCACAGCGTGGGCCTCCCCAGGCTACAGCTCATGATTATCCTGCAGAGAAGGACAGCTACCAAAAATGTTGCTCTTTGCCCTTTTAAATAACTTGCTTAGTTGACATACTTACTTAAAAGCCTGAGATTTATATAATTGCTGGGAAAATCTTTCAAAATGTCTCCTAGCTCTTTTTTTCTTTTATATGGAGGGCAGTGTCTGAGCGTTGTAAACACAGTCTTTTGAAAGAAAAAATAGAATTGATATCAGCTTTAGATCCAGTTTTGTTATGACCCATCATGCTTCCCTCTCCTTACTGTTTCCTCTCCACCCACAAGAATCACAAATACTACTGATACTATGTCAAATATCACTTTACAATCAGGCCTATCTAATCTAAAAAAGGATTAAACAGTGTGTGCTTAGACTTCATGAACCTGAAATTTCCACATCATAGCCATGTGCAGCCCTCTCGGAAAATCCTGCCTCCTGATGCATTTTGTTTGAAACTCTAATCTTAGCTTAGAGACAGGCTGACTTTACAGGCGCCTGGACATGTCACATGCTCAGCTGACAGATAAACCATATTCAGAGCACGTAGCTGAGCCCTTCCCCGGGTGAACAGGCAGTAGATGCATCAAAGATGAAAGAACCCAAACTGCAAACAGCATCTGTTTCAGTATCAACATCACAATATCAAACAGGTATCTGTTACCCCAAACCAGCTTTCTCACCCCTATGCAAGAGCAGAGAGACAAAAATAGTCCCTAATATTAAAATATGTGCAACTGCTGCCCCTTGGGCAGTACTACCTGAGTTGCACAGTGAAGTTTGGGGATGTCGTGTGGTTTAGCAGCAGAGTGATTGTTTTCTATTAAAACTATTTGGTTTGGAAATGGTATGTGTTGATGAGATCTTAGCCGCTCTTTGGAGGAAGATCAATTTCTTCCAACTTTCTCTGTCACTGTAGTGCTCATGTGCCATGAGGCTTTGACAAAACAATTTTCTGGAACTGGTGTCTGCATGTGTGTCTGATGCTCCTGTGCTGAGCAGATGGGAGCAGAGTTTGCTTGTGCAGAAACTGCCCAGGGTGCAGCGCATCGTGTTCATACAGCCATAGCTGCAGTGTGTCAAGAGCAAGTTTTTGGTGCGCTCACCTGTGTCTGCCACATTCAGCAGGTATAGACCAGCTGGACCAAGGGGAAGGGGTGTGTGTCCAGCACCAAGGGGAAAAACAGCCCTCCGGCTTTCCTATGGGCACCAGGCTAAGGGGTGCAGGTCAGCATCCCTCTGCAGAGTTGGGGACAGCCCATGGGCAAACTCCCTCATGCAGGGGCTGCTGGCCTGGCCTCCAGCACAGCGAGCGGAGCAGGAAAGATCAATGTCCCCCGTCACATGCTTCCCAGAGTCATCTGCTTTGTGAAAAACAGTGTCTTTAACCTCCAGTTCTCCAACTCCACCTCTCCTCTGGGGACATGCATGTGCCAAAAAAGGGGTAGTCAGAATAAATGCCTTTTTCTTTTTCCCAAATATACCTTATACTCCGTCTCTGCCATAAGTCCTAGCCTCAATTCCCTCCAGAAAATACTGCACCCTTCTGTAAAACCAACTGGGATCTCTTGCATCATCACTGTCCTTATCTATCTCTCTATTTTTGTCTCCCATTTCAGCTGCGTTTAATTCTTCCCAAATCCCTGGTTTATAGCACAGGCTCAAAAACAAAAGCTCAGCTTGGCTGAACCTCAGCACTGCGGAGACTCGGCCCATCACAGCACGTTTGTCACAGGAGTGCTGGCACCTCTTCTACCTCATCCATTTTTGAGGTCAGAGTATCCCTGTTTGGCCAAAATTAGGAAATCCTCTGTTTTCTCCAGTTAACAGAATATATTAGCTCTCATATCTTTCAGTTTAAAATTCTTTAGCTCAAAGTTAATAAATACATGGGACTTTTCCAATCGGTCTCTGCTAAAAGGTAAGATGACAAGAACAGCAGTAATATTACCTTTTTTAAAATATTTCATACTCTGAATTACTTCTGCCATGTTATATGCTCCTTCCTGGAGCTGTGGTTTCCTCTAAAGCTCTAGGAAGAGATCAGTTGAGATTTATTTTTCATTTTTTTCTGCCTCCTGTGTCATAATTTATGGGAACGATGTAAAACAGTTTCCATCTAGACAGAATACAGTTAGAATAAGTTTCCATCTGCAATTTCAGTACAGCATTATTTTTCCATAGGCACTTCTTCTGTATGGTGAGTGGGCTATATATATCCCTAATGATTTTTTTTTTCCCTGGGAAAAACTCCTTTTTGCCCAATCTAGCTGGTGGAGCTTCTCACTCTTCAAACTTAGGACTGGCCATCAGGTGGAGGCATTGTACTTTGGTTTGCTGGCAGGTGAAACCACAACGAAGGGCTTCCTGAAACCTCCTGACCTGCTGCAGGTTTCTCAGGGCAGGTAGCAAGATCTGGCCCATTTTCTTTAGTAGTACAGCCATGGCCTTGGAGTTGCCTCTAGGAAGAAGCAATGCTGCCTAAGGCAGCCAAGTGCTGGAGACAGAAGACCAACTGCTGCCTCTTTTTCTTCTGCTGGAAATCAGAGGACCCAGGCACTGTGATCAGACATTAAATCCTATTGCTAGAACTGGGAAATGCAATAGTTCCACCTCACCTTCTCCTCTTATGCTAGCTGAAGCAGCAAAGAAAAGCAAGGATTTTTCTTTACAGCTCCTTGCCCCAGCTCTGCCCATCTTCTTTCCTGCAGCAGGAACAGGAAGGCTTGCAGCTGGCTTCAGCCTCAGAGTAGCATAATTCAGTTTTGTCTGCACTGCTGAGATGCTTGAAGCTACCTCAGAACACCCTGTCACCAACTGAAAGAAATTTTTCCTCTAATTTTTGAGATGGAGCTGTGGGCTTCTTTTTTGTTTGATTGGGTTTTTTGTGTGTGTGTGTGTGGTTTTTTTATTTTTTTAATATCTCCAAGAATTTTTGTATGTCCAGATTCCCTTGCCTGTGGGTGACTTTTACAGCAGATAAGTCCACCAGCTACAGAATGAAGATTAAAATCAAATATGTCATTGATGGAAGATAGAAGCCACCTCTCATCCTCTTCAATATCATGGCACAGAATAACGGGCCACTCGGAGCCCTCTGATCACCAATGCTATGGTGGAACATGAAGAAATAGATAGCTCCAAATCTGAACAATACAGCCAGGAAAATCCGTAATATGAAGAATCTCTCTCATCTTCATGTTCCTGCCTCTAATAGAGGGGCACTAATAGTCATAGCCTGTACAGCAGAAAGACTCAGGGCCTAACCTACCTGGTACGATGCAGACACACATAACTGCTAAACAGGAATCTGTAACTTTCTGCTTTTCAAAGCATACACAACATCGGAGCATGTGTAGCTGTGGTACCAAAGGAAAATGGTTCTGGATCATGTCATTTACACTGAACTGCCTTAGTTTCTTAGTTACATGGTTAAATATTTTACTGGACATCTAAGTGATTTTTGCAGACGTACATTGGTCCAGCC